GGTACAAAGTTTGAAACCTCTGCTTTGAATTAGAATTGTAACGAATAAACAAACCATTGAAACCGTTTGCAGAAATAAAACAAAAGCAAACCGTGTGCAAAATTACATACTCAACAGACTGAAATATATTCTGATGGAATATATTTAAAGTATTATTTACAACAAAAGTCTAAGATAAATCATAGCCATTTGGAAACTACCAGAGCGGCGAGTTATGCGTTAACCGTTAATATACCACAGACAGGCGAGTATGGCCAAATTTTCCAAGTATTGCCACAGAATAAATAACAGTACGTAGTTGCGGCTAAATGTAGGTCTGCCAGATCGGAAGACCAAAATATCATCATTATCAATAAACCTTTCACAAAATTTTGAAAATGGGATTTTGGAGTTGCTGTCGGGAGAAATAAATATTAAAAATAAAAAGTTTATTTTATAATTAGGAGACTACGAAAAGTACTTAAAAAAAAAGTACACTTAATTTTTAGGTTGCCATATGTGTTTGGAATTTGACTTTAAAGTCCTACAATTTGGATCCTTTAGTTATATTCAGAAAATATTTAAAATTCAAACGATTTACTTCAAAATTCAGTCTAAATAGTAGCCGAGCTTTTATTAAGCTGTTTGTCTGGAGATTTGGAGTTTTGTCGGGAGTCTGAGATCATTTAAAATATCGGGAGAATCCAAACGAATCCCGAATATCTGGCAACCCTAGCTAAAAGGGCTTTTGATAAAATTGTTATATGAATCTATCTGGCTGTTCAACGTCTGATTACAATTTTGTAATATATTTGAGATGGTCGTTCGTTAGGTTTTTAGCTAGTTAAGACATGATTCATCATCATTATCAATAAAGCCTTTCACAAGTCCACTTCTGAACCAAGGCCTCTTCCACGGGACGCTACAAAAACGGTCCTGAGCTACCTGCATTCATTGAATTCTCGTATTTCTAACCAGACTCATTTCGTCTAGTAGAGGCTTCACGACACTTCGCGAGATCTGCCATTAGAGAAACTTTCTTTCATCAGTTGTCATTTCTTCGAATCCATTACGTCATTTTTATTGAAATAAAAAAAATATAACCAAACACGTTTATTTTCTGAAGCCACGATAAGAACAGGTACCAATTTCTTAAATAGTTGATTCAAATTATTAGTAGCTCGAATAACATATTAATACATGTACTACACAATAACAGTAGGTACACTGTTCAAATCAACAAGGTATATTCCGCGCATTTCGCTTCGCTTAAATTACAATATTGGCCGACACACGATACTCCTAGCATCAGTATTTACAAAACTATCAATATGGTGCATTTGTATTTACACAGCAGTACAGTAGCATCTATAAAATATAACAGAGCGTCGACAATTTGCACTTGCTTGGAAGCAGGCACTATAATATTTAGATTATAACGTTAGAACATTTTATTATTTTATGTATGAAGTTTGGCGGTGATAATGGCCGCAAATAATAATAATATAATACTGTTACTTACTGACTTATAATCGATATTAATATATTTACACAATACAGTGAAACAAAACGTCACACCAGGTGCCCGGCATAAGAGCTTCCGTTATCCCATCTCGTCCCGTGGGTGTCGTGTCGTAAGCGCCGATCATGGGATATGCCGGAAGAATCTAATAACTTCAGATAGATGGAAGAACACCGACGGGCGATACCATCTAGTTTACGCTAAGCGTTAAATACCTAGACCGGCGGCAGGAAATAACGTCAAAGGTGCAAGACACCGCGATCTTCATTCCACATACGAAGCGTGAAAATTAAGACCAATCTTCAATCCTCCATACACAAATTAATGTACTTGTACATAGTATAATATCAAAGCCTACCCTACTACCCATGCCCAGACATCTATGCACTGAAAAAGAAAAAAATACGTGAAACGTTACAACGAATCCGATTACGATTCCCACCAGAGTTAGATAATTACACTGCTGGTTATACTCATCGTAATATTTTAAACTTCAACTTATAATTTATAAGGTTTTGTTTCGAACTCCATAAGATTCACTTTTCATTAAATTATAATTTGTAAGCTGTGCGTTTCTCATAAGTACGTTTGTGTCAATCCGTTAAAAACTTCACAATTTACACTACAACAATTGAACGTCGCATAAAATTTAGATAATTACATTGATATATTTTTGAATTGTTTTAAAGGGAAACAATAGTCAAAGTTAATGTTTTCACTACGTTTAAAATTATAATTAAATTAAAAACTTTAAAAATCAAATATTTTGTTTGTAATTGTGTGTACATATTTATAAATATTAAATATTTTTTCCTCAGTGTCGTTCTACTGTTAATTTTGATACTAAAAGTATCTGTGTGAATAATGACCACAAATACAATATAGTTAAATTTACATAAATAAATATAATTTTCTATAATTAAATCTTTTTAACAAATCGTAATTAAGTAGCGTATTTTATAATTATCCTATAGCTAATTCATCCTCGAGAGGGTTGGCAGACTTATTAGATTAAACACTATTGAAGAATGTGACTTGCGTCTAGGTTGAAAGGTAAACAAATTCTTTGACACTATTATAATTTTTGCATAATGTACCAATTTTTTATTAATACAAGTTGTATCCTGTAAATATTCTTAACAGAACTGTAGGATTTAAACTTAAAGAGCTTCGGTTCTCTGCGTTTTAATCAAGACTTAATTTATAATACTTTTAAAATATATACAAAACTTTAGTTACTTTTTGACGGGATTAGTACCTACTGCGGTCATGTCATAACGGCCATTGTTTTGAAACTCCATTTTCAATAGTGTATATTCTAAGGCTAAAGTGCTTTATCTAGTAGCTTCAAGCCTTCCATTATAATACAAATAATGACAATAACATCTGCATTGTATTGTTATTTTACTATTGCGATGCGACTGAGCTGCGACCTATGTCACATTTTTTATAAATAAAAATTATTATAATGCAATTTAAAAAACACATGTAAAGGAGAAATCATTTCAATTTACATTCTAAACTGAAATTATTTCAATTTTATCTGTGGTAAATGGTAATGTTAACCAACAGAAAAAACATTAAATTGTTTACTAATTTTAATATTATGCAGTAAAGCCACGCTGCAGCTATACTATGGCTGCGGCACGAATGGATCGGCTCGACCTGAGCAGCATCGCACACGGTCTCATAGAATACCAGCGTGAAACAGCTGAAAAATGCTGTGTTTCGTATTGTGAGCGTAGAGAAACGGAGACCCTTGTTACTTATAACGAGGCATTCCATTTTTGTCCTCAGGGCTCATAATATCCCAATTGCATTTTTATTTTTACCAGAGAGTTGATGACTGTGGGCCACGGCATCTACTTATCATCAGGCGGACTGAGTGCACGCTTGTCACCCTTATTGTTAAAAAAATCTAAACTGACTGCTTATTAATACAGAAAAAATAAAATGAAAATAAAGTGTGAACATTGATTAATTATGTTTATAATGAAATCTTTGCTGTTCCAAGAAGCATATAATCACTGTCTACGTTTTAGTAAACATTATCGCTTCTGAAGCATCACATAAGTATTTTAAGTCACGAAGGCCGCAGCGCCTATTATTTTAATATAGCTATATTTATACCGTATTAATGCGACATGGTGTTTCTGTTTAGGGGTTTATTGAATAGTAATTTTAGAGCACATACTTCTGGTGGTCATTTAAGGAATTTTAATTTGACATTATCTAAATTTTATGCTTTATTTTATTTTGTACATGCCACCAGTCGAATGTTCTCCGACAATCTATTACGAGGCAATTAATTACGATTTATTTAACAAATATAACAGTTTTCAGTTACATAACCCAGATCAACAAAGAAAGTTATGTATTTACATTGCAATTGATGCGGCCTTAAGCTTAGAATGGCACGCACGTTATAGTTCACAAGATTGTACTAGTGCTCTGTCTGTCTGTCTATCTTTCCTTGTAGATCTAAGTTACTTAATTCGTATGTCGTAAAGCAACACGGGCCACCCACGAACTAGCCATACGCAGGCGTTCCCCTCCGTCACTTTGACAGATAAGTCCACACGGTCCTATGCATACAACAAAACTGGTTATAACCGCACAGCTCACTAGACTAAATCTAGTTGTTTGGCTGAATCGACGTCCTACAAAAATGCCGGTTTGAATTTTGAACAAAAATCAGTTTTTTTGCTGTTAAAAGAGACCTGGCACGTCAAATTTACAAAAGATTGCGCTATCTTTCATATTTTATTCACGCTGTTCCCATTTACTTCTTCTTAAATTTTAATAATTACAATATTTACGGTCGTGTTGTTTTATATTTGTTTACTAATTCAGGCCTCGTACAATATGCAGATCGTTCGAGCGCCTGACACGAGTCTGTTGTAGAAGTAGTATCACCCTGCGATAGTGTTATAATGAATCCATGTTTGTGTGAATTTGTTAGTCTGTTTTAATTCTTATGTGTAAGTACGTAGTGACAGACGATTGTTTAAGTGTGCACAGTTTTCCCTTCGCAAGAAAATGACAGACAGTTCTCTATAAAAAAAGAAACGCAATGGCTATTTCCCTCCGGTCCGCTGGTAGTCCGTGTTCCGCTTTATGATTGCTGTTTACTTAGCGCTGTAAGACATTTCGTAGTTACTCTTGGCTGATGATACTCTGGATCCGTTTCAATTTACTCACGTCTTGTTTAACATAAAGCAGTTTTCAACACGGCGAGCTTACAAAAAACTTTTATCAAACACTAAATCACTTGTATAATGTATAATTCACAATACCGTCTTTAACAAATTATTATATTCAGTTCACAATTTAGTAATTCTTTACTCTTGTAACTCTTCAAATGTCTACAAATCTTATACAGTTCTATAATTTTCTTTTGGATATTTTTCAGGGTTGTCTACATCCAAGCAATGGCGGGAGATCCGTCAGAGGATAGGGAGTTTAGAGACCGTCGGTTGGTCGTCCCCCGAAGCTGTTGTCAGTAAAGAGACGTACTCGAACATGGCCCGTCTACTCCCTGAAGTTGTTGTTCCGAATTTGTTATTAGCTGCAATGTAAACAGAGAATTAGCTCACAACTTTATTTTATATTCATTTATTTAGAGTATAGTATTTGAGGGTACCACGGTCAACCGGTTAATATGGTCACTTTCTTGTAACTCAAAAACTACAGCCTTGTTTGCAAAGATGACTCTGTGATACTGATACGGTAGCTCTTCATCAGTCTGAAATATTCTATAAAATATATATGTTCCGAAACGTTTCCAGTATACTGCCGAATACAAATGACGTCATCAATTGACATCATATTGTACTAGCGTGCCGCCGCCATAGTGTGTCGGATATCCTGCCATATTAAAACAATTTTTAATTGTGTGTACGCTGAATGAAGCATGCCAGAATTTGTTTTTATTTATTCAAATATAAAAAATTATAGAATAATTGCTGGTATTTCTATTAGGAAGATATAATGATTTTTGGAGCACAAAAGACAAAATAATCGCCAACACTTTTCCAATATGACCCAAATGTATGACGTCATATACTGTCCTATGTTTTGGAACGAATCACTAGTATGGCGTCGATTCATGACGTCATTTGCGTTGGACAGTACACTGGGTTCTATTTTGGAACATACTGTTACGAGCTTGAGGTTCGTGACTATTAAAAATTGCCGATAGAATTACCAAAATTAACTCTTTAATTCACTTTACACTAATTAAACTTAAAACACTAATAAATAATCACACTGATTCACTTTTATTCCGCTCCGAAGCTTCGCTTGTCTCGCCAAATTCAATACTTCCCCGATCGCACCTTGCAGCGCCTATAAATACACATTAGCACCGAAACATCCAGAACATTCAAGTAAATATCCACCAATCGACAAGGCACTGAAAGTTCGAGTGTCGGCTTCTAGAAGCTTAGTTCTTCGTTTCGATACTAGATGGCGCTGTCGGTTGAAAGATTAGTGATGTCATTTTCTGGAAAGCTCTCCCGCTCTCGTCCCTGACACAGTACATGACGTCAACTTAGGCGCGCAACACTGGCTCCTCCTAAGATATGCTCGTCCCGAGCATTATCAGCCCCATAATAACGCGCCAAGCGATCCACATGGACGATCTTAGGAGTCCCTCTTGCGCCTTTCTGTAACGGCTTCGCAAAGTCAAGAGCTGTCCTATCCCATGGTGCACCAATATTGTACATTTCGATGCTCCTCTCGATACTACGTGTCTGAGGTCCCCTCACAGCCGCACAACTTGTACATGTGCGACACCAATCCTCGACATCGTCACGATAATGGACCCAGTAAAACTGTTCTCCGACCTTCAGTAGAGTTCATTTAACTCCCAAATGGACTCTTGAACGATCATGATGGCACAGCTGTAGAACATTCGGCACTTTAGGTTTAGGGACAACCATTTGCAAACGACAGCTGTCTCATCGACCATTGTCCCATTTACGGCATAGGACTCCATCCTGAATCAGCAAGCTGTCCCATTGGGCCCAATAGCTCCATGCTGACCCCACTTAGGCTTGGTAGCACGGGACTTCATCCATTCCAGAATCGGCTTGATGTCCGGATCTTCCTGCTGTGCATGTCGTAGGCTGTCCTTCCACTCGTTGCTGAGGTGGTCTGTCCTGAGCATCCTCACGGATGACTTCCTTACTCTTTTGCCTAGTACAATGTTTCCAATCTTCAGGACAAGGTCTTCTTGACAATGCATCTGCGTTGCCATGAGATTTCCCGCTGCGATGTCTGATAGTAAAGTCGTATCCCGGCTGCTGCTAGGCGGTGATTTTAGCCGCACTTCCCTTCAGAGATCGTTCACCTTCCCTTTTTAGGGTTCGCTTAGGGCAGCTGGAACGAAGATAGCCCCTTTCCCCACAGCCATAGCACCTAGGGCTGTATCCTTTATTGTGGTCGCGAACCGTAACTGCTGCAACCTCCCTAGCGTGAGGGGAGCGATGATCCTGCCGCCGCCAGGTGGTGCCGTTAGCTGCACTACCCTCTCGAGATCGATCAACTTCCTTTTCTACAGTTCGCTTAGGGCAGCTGGATCTATGATGACCCCTTTCCCCACAGCCATAGCACCTAGGGCTGTATCCTTTGTTGCGGTCGCGAACTGTAGCTGCTGCAACCTCCCTGACGCGATGGGAACGATGATCCTGTCGCACGGTTTCCACCTCCAGTGCATGGGCCAAGGCGTCCTTAATTGTTTCGTGGTGCCCCAGCCTCACATCAGCTCTGACTTCCAGGTCGCGGATGCCGTCGATGAATGTCTGCACCAGGTTCCCTTCAATGAGTGCAGGTACAGACCGGTATGCTTTTCGCTCCAGCTTCTCCACCTCTAGAGCCCACTGCTGCAGGTTTTCATTGATGCGCTGCACGCGATCTTTAAGCTGCGCACGAAAGACGTGTTCCAGGTGAGCGTCGCCATATCTCGCCTCCAATGCCTCAAGTAGCTGCTCATAAGTCACTTCCTCACCGAGAGCTTCCAGAACGGTTAAGGCCTGATCGCGCAGGCCCAGTGTGAGAGCAGTAATGGCCTGACTTTTATTCCAGCCGTTCGCCTTCATAACGGCTTCAAACTGGATTTTGTAAGCTGACCAGGAAGAAGTCCCGTCGAACGGTGGCACTTTGAACCCACATAGCGAAGGTGTTGTAGCTACTACGGGAGCTGTAATTTCATCCCCCAGTTTGTGATCGTCCAGCGTTTTCTTCACGTCAGCCATCACGTTGTCAACCCGATTGTTCACTTGGTTAATTCGGGTTTCAGCTTTCTCGATTCGGGTTTCAGCTTTCGCAATTTGGGTTTCAGCTTCTGACTGGCGGTTGTCATGCTGAGCAACCCTATCCTTCACCTCCTTGATCTCCTTCCCGAAAGTAGCGTGAAGATCCTTCATGAGGAGCATATGCTCTTCCAACCGATGGGCCTGTTCCTCCTGTCCGCCCCGCAGCTGCTCTTCCAAACGACGGACCTGTTCCTCTTGTCCGCCCCGCAGCTGCTCTTCCAAACGAAGAACCTGTTCCTCTTGTCCGCTCTGCAGCTGCTCTTTCAACTGACGGACCTGTTCCTCCCTTCGGCGAGCCTGCTCCTGCAGCATCACCATCAGAGCACCTAAGTCAGGTGCTGCAGGTGTAGGAGCTACTGACGGGCCTGCAGCCGGCGGCTGGCCCTCCGACGTCTGCGGCGTTGCACCACCAAATCTTCTTTGGTCCGTCTCCTGCTGGCGTTGACTTCGGGTACGTACACCCTCCGTTTCCTCCTTAGGTAAAATCGGCATGATTTTATCCCACTTCTGACACCAATTGTTACGAGCTTGAGGTTCGTGACAATTAAAAATTGCCGATAGAATTACCAAAATTAACTCTTTAATTCACTTTACACTAATTAAACTTAAAACACTAATAAATATTCACACTGATTCATTTTTATTCCGCTCCGAAGCTTCGCTTGTCTCGCCAAATTCAATACTTCCGCGATCGCACCTTGCAGCGCCTATAAATACACATTAGCACCGAAACATCCAGAACATTCAAGTAAATACGCGCACCAATCGACAAGGCGCCGAAAGTTCGAGTGTCGGCTTCTAGAAGCTTAGTTATTCGTTTCGATACTAGATGGCGCTGTCGGTTGAAAGATTAGTGATGTCATTATCTGGAAAGCTCCCCCCGCTCTCGTCCCTGACACTACATGACGTCAACTTAGGCGCGCAACAATACCCATTAAAGGGTCAACGCCATTTTGACAGTTGACGTTATAGAAAATATTTTAGATGATTTTAGTATTGCGAAGTATAATAAAAATATAAGTTTTTATTACACAAAAATATACCATAAGCAGTCTGCAGTCATAGACGCGATATGTCTACGTGTGTTATCACTATTGCTAATCTACCTGTTTAATCCAAAACAATTCAAATCCTCCCTCTGAACGGGACATAGCTACGCCCAGAAGTGGGCTTTAACGGGTTGGGACTGAGCTTAAAAGTTCCGCAAATATCGATAAGTAAATCGAACACACAAACGGAATATAATAAGTACGATCTTCACAAAAACTTAAGAACAATCAAAGTTGTAATTGATATGACCAAACAATGTAAAAAGTATATGTACTTCATACTGCTCTAATTTTACAAACAGCGGGCAGTAAGGGCTTTAAGGGGCTGGGTTTGGGCTTAAAAGTTTCGCAAATGTCGGTTCACTCAAATATAAACAGATTATAATATAATTTATATCTACGTGGTAGAACCACGCTGCAGCTATATTTTGAATGTAGCATGAATGGTAGGACCACGCTCTCACAGAATACCAGCGTAAAATAGCAGCTTAATGCTGCTGTGTTTCGTTTGGAGAGTGTAGAAAACCGGAGACCCTTTTTTGCTGGAAATGAGGCATTCCATCTTAGGTCTCATGGGCGACAACGCAAATGAATTATTATTCATAATCGAGGATAAGTATAGGGGTAAGGTCGTAAAAAAATGTACTTTTTGAAAGTTTTGAGTGGGCCCATGTTTGATTGTTAATACCATACGCTAACAAAAAGTATGATAATATTATTAATTAATTAATAAAACATTGATAATCATGTTTAGAATAATGTAGAAATAACCATAATATTCAAGAGGCTTAAACATAAAAAATATTTTTGAATCAACAAAATAAAGCTGCATACAAAATTTATTTGTCTCCTATCAACTTACGGGACGAAAAAATGCAACAAATAAAAATAATATAGCATTATGGTTTTAAAATTGTAGTTTACTTTGAAAGCAATAAAGATGCCGTGTGATAATGTATAAATTATTGCAATAAAACAATGCTAGTGGAAAATAATCTCATTCTAATTTGTGTCTCCAAAAGTTATCCAGTGTGTTACTCCAATTCGATATGGGATAGATTTTTTGTTTTCAACATTAAACAACATTATGACCTAATTTCGATGAGGCAATGCCGTAGGCATGTTAAATGTCAATATTGACATATTTTTTTCATTTGTAGTCGTGACCGTAAACAATTGTAAATTCCATAATTTAGAGCACAAATTTCGGGCAGTGTATATGTCAATTCTACATGAGAAGTACAAAGATATCGTTTACTAGATTCCTGATTCGAAATTTATAGTCAATTACCAGTGTATGTCAAGTTTTATTAAGTAAATCGCGCGTCATTTATGACCGGGATTCATTGTTGAGTTTTGAATTTTCGAGTGTGTTTGTTCCAGTTCGTTACGTGTGTTATGGTGTTTGTTATGCCACATACCGGAATTTTATAAAGGAGGCTGTTCACATAACTAATCCAACTACGGTGAAATGAAAAAGGTGTAATGTTATTCTAACGTACCTACATAAGAGTGGAGTGTTATACTATTCTGATTTATTATTACTAGTGGTCCCTCAGTAGCCGAACTAGGTCCGTTTTTAATTAAGAGGTCGTCGCCTTTCGTCAACTTTACCACTCGCACAGGACCATAATATAAAAAATGTTTAAATGATAAGAAGCATTTTTTAATTTTATTAAATGGCAAAATATAAATAAGTTATTGTTAAAAACACATTTTTTAATGTGGCTTTATTATATTTGTATGCTGAGTTTATTAGATAAACACAAAAAGTTTTTTTTAAAATCGTTACATATTAAATGAATACTATATTATAGTTCGCCTATTGATTACATTAAAAAAACGCATTTTAAATTTCAATTTCTTCTTAAATATTGTTCTGTGCGAACGCGAATAGTCTCAAATGGGATAGCACTTATAATTTAAAAAAAAATCAGTAAAACAGAATTCTGTGATAAACGGTAAAAATTACGGTATCTGTACTAATTGTAAACTGTAAACACATATTTGTTAAATTCCTTATATTTCTTTTATGAATAACATACTTTGATTAGTACCTACTGTTTTTTGTAAGCACATTATTTTGTTAAAGGCTTTAATTCTACTGTGTTGTGTTATTTTGGTGTTTAGTATCGCAAACATGCAAGATATGCATAGTCTATGCATAGTCTAAGATTCGTTTTTGATTATTTAATCTTAATTTCATGAAAATAAGTAATTGATAATATTTTAAAATGGATTTTACTTAAACCTTTTTCCAAGTGAACATTGACCTTTATATTATTCCAGTACGTTATTGTGTTATCGTGTGTCACATCTTCCAGTGCGTTATTTACACTTTTTTACGACCTTACCCATAGATGTCGTGTGTGCTCGTTTGTCATCCGTATCTATAAAAAAATAAGTACGATTTTCATAAAAAAAACATAACAAAATTGTATGACCTGCAATCGATCTGACCAAAAAACGTAAGTATAATTCGTACTTCTCTAATTTCACAAACAGCAGGCAGCAGCCCATCGGTTGAGTTGTTAGGAGAGCGCGGAGATGGCGTCGGCGCGTGCTTGGGAAGATCGCGTCCGGCCGCCATCTTGTCGTGCAGTTGCGCGAGGCGCATACTCATTTGCCGCCTCTCCTTCTGCTCACGTTCTCTCTCCCATCTCTTCGCACTGTAACTTCTAATCGACGATGAGCTGCTCTGGACCGAGTTTAGACTTGGACGTCGCGAACCTGTAGAATGCAGATCATTCTAGACACGGCTAGAAGCAAAAGTGACAGGCGTTTTAGAAATAGCGTTGCTTAAGCTTAAATATAAATTTTTAGTTTAAAATCTTAAACATCCTTGAAATTAAAAGTGATTTCAAATGCGTTTTGTGCTGGATAAAGAAAGTTACTGTTTCTCAAATAAAAATAATGTAAATAGATATTGATAATTTCATTCATAAATATATGGAGTAAGCTATGTAAAGACGTACTTGAAAATTATAAACCAGATTTGATGAGAGCGGGTAGCGTGGCCTTCTCAAATATACAGTAAAGCCTGCGATGGTAATTATTAGTAGTTTAAAGGCTTCGCTTCGCGTTCAAGGTGTGCAGCATTGAAGTAAGCTACGCAATAATAATGAAGCTGAAAATATTCTGATGGTTTGAAATTTGAATAAGCAAAACTTTTTTGCAAGTAAATTTATTTCAATAAGTGTTAATTTATTTTTGATTGTGGTTAATTTATACACGATGTGATAGAAGTAGGTAGGTACTTACTTAGGAAAATAAAACAAAAATGTTCGTTTGCTCAAACTGCTACAAAACTCTTCTTATTTAGTAGACTCTGACAACACTAAGGCTGTAGGTATATTGTCTGGAGCACAATCAAAAGAGGATACTCTCCCGGAATAACATTGTTAAATAGCAGCAAAGTGCTGCCGAGCTTAGTGTGGTGAGTGACGATAACTGGAAACTTTTTTATTGGCAACGAGGAATTCCATTATAGTCCTAACAACACATCTGCCTTTTTATTCTCAGTCGATAGGCTTAGGCGTCTATGTGCTTTAGCATTCCTTTATCGTTAGGTGGACTGTTAGCCAGTTTGGCACGTTAACTCATTATAAAAATAAGTGTTATTTTGATCACGATCAAATGCTTCACTGATGTCTTCTCCTGATCAAGTCATCTAAGATCTTGTTTTTTGACTTCGAAGTTTATGGGAGATTTCCTTAGTCAATCCAAGTCTTACAACAAGCTCACGATGAGACAGGATGAAAGTTTTTCTTACCTACTTTCTTATTTTATTTTAACATATATATCAAAATACAAAACCAGAATATATCTCATATCTCCTCTAAACACTGTCGTAATTAGCAAAAATACACTGTTACCAAACCCAATTTAAAAATAACGTCTAAAAAATTCAATTCTCTCTAGTTTTACAATAAACTAGAAGAAACATAAAATTAATAATATATTAAACGACGGTGACAGTAATGTGGTGGTAAATCAAAGCAACGGCCACATGCACAAAAACTGTGGAATTTGACAGTGAAGGAAGCATCAAGCAATCGTGCAAGTGAAACTGAAGCTTTGGCTCACCCTTTTTAACAAAATTATAGTTATTAGTGTTGTGCGTAAATAGTTATGTGATTTTGTCAATATTTCTACATAAAATATGAATAAAAAGGCAAACGAATATTATTTATTTAGTGAAGCTTATATAAGAATTTACACCAAAACTGTACTGGTTAGTTGATTTTACCATAAGATGTTTTTGATTCTGTTTGAAATTTAGTAAAATAGCTTTTAAGCGGTTTAGCCGAAAAGCATGAATATTATATAACGATTTAAAACAACTTTTCGTTTCTATATATATATGTAGGTATAAAAATACATTGCCTTTTATAATTAATAATTCAATATATTATTTCATGAATAAGGAAGCATCGATGTAAAGATTTTTGTATTAAAATAAAATAAACTTTCCTTACGCTTTGCTGTGGTTGACAATAACGACGTTTAAACAGTCAGTAGGTATACAGTCTTCAGTTTCATCAATATACAAATACATGTACACATAATGTTACAGATCAAGTGACTGATAAGGTTTTATTAACTTTAGACATTTAAAATTGTGCAAGTTCTCACTGATAATTGTTGAATTTTCTAGTCTAATTATTAAGAACAACCGACTTATCAATGACTTTATCCGTAACATATTCAAACAGACGGCAAATAGCAGATACAGGAGATAGGAACGCACGGCACGGCCATCTTGCTCGCGCCACGCGAAGTTCACGTAAGGTTTTGCGACTGACACACACCTTAGCTTTAGAACACAATTATTCAACATTTTCCAATTATTCTCACGCCAAAGCCACGAAAAGCTTCATATTAAGCGACAGTAACAATTGTTTGCAGGCGGTTTTAACAAGTTTGCACGTCCATTAAAATCTGTAAGAAACTTGAAAAGGATGGGACACAATTTAATAGTGAAATTATCTTCAGTAAACATTTTTAAAAGGTTATATTTGAATGAAAAATTAACTAAAGACACCTAAGTAATCTCAAAAACACTTAATTCGAGATTCCAACATTTAGGTATAAGCTTGACGTTATTAATATTAAAAATTCTAAAGGAAAATTGATAAATGAGAGCACGTATAAACGGTCACAAAATGTGCTTTTTTAAAGGGTCTCAGTTTCAAAGTCTCATTGGAGACTAGAGTCTACACAGGATAGAATTACAGTACACGAGTGAGTGCGTAAGCCCAGGTTTCCTCACATAGTCCGATGGGACTGCAAACGTCTCCAGTCGCCAGTCGTATACTTTTACGACTGGAGAACGATCAGGCGAAGAATTATCCATTTTACTGACTTAGTAGTGATACTAAGAATTTCTTGACTGAATAACCCAATTACTGACTTTGGAATAGGGATTCGAACCCGGGACTACATGATCAGTCGTTTACAAGGTCACACTTATGACCACTAGACCAAAGAGGCAGTTAATGAGCAAGTAAAAGGGATGTAAAGTTGTGGACACATAAGTCACTGCCTGGGGTGCTTACTGAGAACTGAGAATTTTTTGGCTGAATAACCGAATCACTGATTTTGCCCGAACGGGATTCGAACATGCGACCGCATAGATCAATGATAAAGTAAAGGGGAATATAAAGTTGTGGACACATCAGTGCCGCACTAGCAACAACACGCGACATCTAACCACACGAGCGACGTGCGACGCATGCGACATCAGCGGCCTCTCCTCGAATGCCCAATTCAATTTTATACGTTGCTTATAATCATTATAGACTATTAAGGGTTTTAGGCGAAAATAACAAACCAAACTGAAAAAAAAACGTGTGTGCAGTTCACACGCGGTTATAGGAAACACTGTAAACTATATTCTGTCACATTTTCTCGCAGGCTAAATCCTATACATGCACTTATATTGTTTGTCTCTTTTTAATGTTGCTTTTTCGTTTTCTTTAAGTTTCAAATTACAACGATTTAAACAAGTTTTCATTTCAAAAACTTATCTTAATAATATTCAAAAATAAGGCTCAGAATGTAATAATATATACGATTGTTGCTCTAATTTATTACATAAATATTATGCTACATATTATGTTGTTTTCTTTAACCATTACGCACCATCGAATTATGTCAATCTCTCCTTTATCAGGAACATAGTTCATTCCATTGATGATTCTATAAAGATGAGACTAATGTTTATGTAAAATATCACATAAAGGAACCTGGATGTATTGACATTGTCTCCATATCTCGAGTAAGGTTATTTTCAAGTTTACCCTTAATCCCAGCAAGTTTAACCATTTCGCTGTCATTCACGGTAAGTTATATATCAAAATTTCGATTATTTCATTATTGCGTCTTTTACGCGGACAGGGAAGTTGTTAATAAGCATGTAGAGATTAGGCATTCGAGGCAGCCGCGATCCGCCAACAATCGTGCAGTAAAGGGCCGCGCTGCATACATCATCTGGATCACCTTTGGCGGCGCACTTAGGCGGGTGCGCGCCGCCGTCCCTTACGGCCTTCAGGTGGCGCGAGATTAGCAAGATGGCGGCCGCGCGCGCCGCACCTGAGCGCGACGCGGTGCTTCCACGCGCGCCCCCCCGCGCCGCTCGCCGCGCCCCCCACGCCGCCCCCCGTGCCGCACGTGCCCGCCGTGCCGCTCGTGCAGCCGCTGCGTGCCGACGCACGTGACGATACGCGGGTCGCGCTCACTGTGCCACCTGCGCAATTCACACACACACACACCGATAAACCAAACATTGAAGTCACATGTGGAGCATGTGGACTACTATCATACGTGGTGGCGCCACGCTCTAGCTATACTATGGTCGCAATTCTAATGTGTCCGCAGAAGTACGCTCTACAGAATATCTGTTTATGCTACTGGGTTTCGTATAGTGAGTGTAAAGAACCGGAGAATATTTTTACTAGAAACAAGGCATTCCATCTTAGTCCTTAAGGGTGACAACACATCTGCATTTTGATTCATAATTGAGGATAAATATAGATGTCTATTGGTCACATATTGTGTTCGTTTTTCTCCCATATTCTTTAAAAAATATTGAAGTACAACGTACTTCTTATGTAGAAGCAGCGCCAGTTTTGAGCACCAAGTGACAGCTTTTTCGCATGTACTTTTTCCAGACATATGAGTGAAGTAAATGCAGGGTAGTGTTCTTCCAAATATTGACGAAAATTAACCAATACCGCAATCACGTGAAAGTCTTTTTCGAATTCTCCATTCAAATACTATCGTGAACCATTCCTTACAGAAGCAATTTCAGTTTACCAGAAGTGGTTAAAGCACATATTTGTAATATTAATAGCATTGTTAGTATTTAAAAATAAATAAAAATAATAAACTTGAAACTTGAAAGTCCCTTAAAACATAGAGTTCTATCAAGGTTTGGACAATGGGAAATATTACCCTTTATAGTAACTAAGTTTCTTTTTTATAAAATAGAAGCACAGACAACAGAAGACAAACCAACTTACAATCCGCCTGATGGTGAGTGGCTGCTGCAGCCTATGCTACCCTGCATCACACTTCAAACAAAAAAAGCCACAGATGCGTTGTCACCTCTGAAAAAAGATGAAATTTCTCACAGCTTGTATGTAGTTATACTGGCTCTGTATATCAGAACCAGAACATTTTGCAGCAGAAATAGGTAAGAGGAGTCCTAACTGGAAGTTAAAAAGTACGTTAAAGTGGCAAGTCCATACCGGTGTCGTTGAGCGTGTACAGGCAGGGCGGGGTGAGCCTCGCGTCGGCGAGGTGTGCGGGATGGTAGCGCGCGCGCGTGTATAGGTGCAGCACCATGCACAGTAGTCCCGCGAGCACGAAGATGCCCGATGCCACGCCCAGCAGCTGCGGCACGTCCGTCGTCAGCAGCGCCACGTCTGCAAACATTTGATGTGGAGCAGAGGTTCCCAAACTTATGCTAATCAGATCCTCTGTTTTAATTTTCTTATTATAATAAGGATGACAAAGGAGCACACAGTCTACCTGACGGTAAGTGAACGCTGTGACGCATACATATCCATATTTATGCTCGATAACGAAAAAACCGATCCGTTGTCACCCCTGAGGACTAAGATAGAATGCCTCGTTTCCAATAAAAAGGGTAAACCCTTTTACTTACTTGGTTCATATGGGTCTTGATACCTTGAATCGGGTAAATAAAAGGTAACAAAACGGTCATATGTATCATGTATAGAAAAAGACCCGTACGATCTTATATGTAAACGGTGAATCTCACCGTCATTTTTCACAGTTAGCTACCGTGGGAAAATCTTTGTTACAGAGATCACGAGGAATCTGTGACTGCAAACACCTGGTCGCCAAGCCTCAGCACGACAAGCAGGTCCTGCATGGCAACAAGCACGGTCGAGCGTGTGCCTGCTGTACTACCATACGTCAAAGGTGTCACAGACAAGATTTACTATAGTCAACCAAATCTAAGAAATACCTTTTGACAGCTGTCAGATTTATTGCACTAAGCAATCTCGTATCAACGTTTTGTTTTAATGACGCATGACAGAAAGAAAAATTATAAATGTCACGCATGCCTTTCACCTTTATGTAATAAACAAACATCCCCAAGATCCACGACCATATCGCCAGAGCATCAGGATTATGTTACCCAACGCAATAAATATAAATTTAACGTTAATACGGTTAACTCCTTTAAAGAACTATCAGATGAAGAAACAGAAGGTGATTACTCGTCCCTGACTTCAACCCCAATTAATACCTTAAATAGAAGCTACACAGAAATAAAAAGAAATCCAAATTATAAAATTGAAGAATTAAAAGAGCAAACTCACAAATTAGAACAAAAACTGGAAATAGCAGAAAACGAAATTGAAAATTTGTTATCGGAATATCAGATGCTAACTAAACGAATTTCCGAATACGAATTAAAAATTAAACAGTTAACTTATATATGCAAATCCACGACGAAAAACAGTGCTAAAAAAGAGGGAAAAAAGTTTGACAAAAATGAAGTTAGATTTTTCTCAAATTGAGGAAAATATTAATCACAATAAAAGAGAATCAACTAAACATGTTAGTACATCAGTGCCATCTACCTCAGAAACAAATAATATTAATCAAACAGAACAACAAATCGATAAAAACTCTCACTCTAACAGTATTCGCGAAACACCGATAGATGGCAGTAATACACAAAAGCAAAATGAAAAAGATTTATTTACATTATTGGGGATGAACAACTAAAGGGATTGTCAGCTTCACTTATAAATACCAGGCAGGGCAAGTGGAATGATATCTATATTCCCTCGGCATCAATCCTGTCCGGAGCAGCTAGTACTGAAATATTAAAATACTGTGACATAATTAATGAAAAATTGACAGTAAATGACATTGTAATTTTAAGTATAGGTAATAATGATAAAAATATATATAAATTACACTCCAATATTTGTATAGTTTTAAGCAAGTTAAGTAAAGTCTCTGTCTTTCTAACGCCTGTATGCTATAATCCTTATTTTGACAAAAATACATTAAATTTAAATAATCATGGACAAAACATTTTGAGAATTGTGTACTGATAAATATGAATGTTAAATATTTTAATGCTTTTAATTTCTTAAAAAACATTTGTAATAAAATTAATTTGTGCATCGATTATATAGAATATAAAAAACAATTTTTAACGGTCGAAAATATTAAGAAATTTTTAAAAAGGTCACCTATTATAATTAATGAAACAGAAACGAAGGAAAATAAATGCAACAAATTATTTAGAAAAGGCACTATACCCTATTATTTTCATATTATGTCCCAAAAACAAACAAAGAACATTCCGATTCAATGTAATAATATCCTAAGTCCTAACCATATACCCAAAAAAGGCACAATACCTTTTTTATTTTCGTAATATTACCAAAAAACAAAAAATAAATACTCTAAGTCGAGAAGGTAACGTAGACATTCAAAATACGCTAAATTCTTTTCAAAGTAACAAGGACATGTTTTTTCAAAGCAAATAGCAAGTGCTTTACACTTTTTCACCAGAATATACATGGATTGCTCTCCAAAAGAGAACTAATAGAAATGACCCTTTTGGAGATAAAAAACCATATTAGTCCCGACGTACTATGTTTCACCGAAACATTTGTGAAAACAGGTGAGGAAAAAAACATACTCATAAATAATTATGAATTAGCCACATCATTTTCAAGATCATCTAAAACCAAGACCTTTTTTTACTAATATACAACTACCCCCTCAGTTGTATATTAGTAAAAAAAGGTCTTGATTATAAGAAAATAGAGTACTTCGATGCTCTTGCTATGACTTACCACTTTGAGTGTTGTGCAATAAATCTTATTAATAATAATTTAATTATTGTTTGCATTTATAGAATTCCGTCAAAAGCAAAAAGTCATTTAGAATATTTTTTTGATAAATTTGACTCACTTATTAATAAATATATAATAAAACATTCAAAAAAGAAGATAATTATTAATGGGGACATGAATATTAATATACTTGAATCCATTACGCCATATTATGTCTTAAGGACATTGTGAAAAAATATAACCTTCATTTTGATATAAAACAACCAACTAGAGGCAAATCGTGTCTTGATCTTATTATTAGTAACATTGACGAAGCAATTGGATCTGTGCGTTCACTATGGTTGTCAGATCATGATACTGCACAGGTACTAAAGTTTACTGAAAAAAATAACAAGAACATCACACCAAAATTAATATACTCCTTCGTTCGACATTATTCCGTAGAAAATATAGACAGATTTAAAAAATATTTAAAATGCGTTTCATTTTGTGAAGTTTATGCTCAGTCTGATTTAAATAAAGCGTTTGACGAATTCTTTAGCCTTTTCACATTACTCTATAAACTATGTTTTCCTAAAATAAGAGTAAAAACCAAAACATTTACCAAACTAACATGGATATCCAAAGGCTTAAAAAAAGTTGTAGAACTAAACGTAAACTTCGGTACAAGTTCTATATGACGAGAAAAAATGTTGATCGAACTAAATATATAAAATACGATAAACTGTTAAAAAAATGTATAAACATTGCAAAAAGAACAACAAACAATAAATTTGTAGTAAATAGTAAAAATATATGTAAAGCCACTTGGGAACTTATTAAAAATGAGACAAATTGTGTACATACTAAAAACTATATAAATAATATTATATATAATGGAAAGAAGGTAACGGAACCTGCTGAAATAGTATCTATTATAAATAACTATTTCATTAACGCAACAAAACAGATAAATTATAAAATAGAAAATACAACTGACATGAAAGTACCTCAATCTATTTTTCTAACTCCTATAAATGAAAATATTATCAAAAAGATAATAATGTCTTTAAATAACACAAAATCTGAGGGTTATGATTCCATATGTACTAAAATAATTAAATATTGTAAGAATGAAATAAGTGAAATATTAGCATTCCTGATTAATCTCTCACTAGAGTCAGGGGTTTTTCCTGAAAAATTAAAACTTACTATAGTAAAATCATTACACAAAAAAGGAGATAAAAGTGATATAACCAACTATCGACCAATTGCACTAATCCCAGTCTTCTCAAAAATATTCGAAAAGGTTATGCATTACCAACTTACTTCCTTTTTTAGTAAATTTAATGTAATAAAACAAAATCAACATGGTTTCCAAAAAAATAAATCCACAGCACATGCTGCATTCACATTAGTAAAGGAAGTAATGCAAAATGTAAATGAAAGAAACAACATACAATAGTACTATTTATTGACATGTCTAAAGCCTTTGATCGCGTCTCACATGATCAACTATTGACCAAACTAGAGGCTAATGGAATAAGGGGACCTGCTCTAAGTTGGATAGAAAGCTATTTAAAAAATAGGTATCAGTGTGTAGAAATAACACAGTTAAATTCTAAAAACATAGCTCAGGTGTATAGATCCGAATTCAAAAATAATAATGTTGGTGTTCCCCAAGGTAGTGTACTTGGACCATTGTTGTTTATTTTATACATAAATGATTTACCTGACATCTCAAACTATAAAACTACTTTATTTGCAAATGACATATCGATGACGATAACGACTAGTAAAAAAAAACCACTAGATCAACATAAAACGGACATTATAAATACAATTAATTCAGTAAATAAATGGCTTAATAATAATAATCTACACATTAATTTAAGTAAAACAAATATCATTAATTTTAATAACTTAAGCTCTGACATTAATATTGAATATAATAGACAACTTCCGCAGAACGCTACTAGTACGTCATTTTTAGGTTTAATTATAGACTCGAACCTGAATTGGAAAGAACATATACATAAAGTGTGTAACAAAATTAACAGATTTGTGTACGTGTTACATAAATTGACAAAAATAGCAAACAAAAATACAGCGGTCACAGCATTACAGCATAACAGATGCTACATATTTCGCATATGTAGCATCTGTTATCAGATACGGACTTTTAATGTAGCACAAAAACGCTGTATTAGAGCTATTAGTAACATCCCATCAGACACATCATGCAAGCCTTACTTTAGAAGAGTTTAAACATACTTCCTTTTCCCTGCCTCTATATATTTGAGGTAGGCAAATTTGTAATGCAAAACAAGCACTTATTCTTACAAACTAAAGATGCAACAAAAATAAATTTACGGAACCCACATAAATTAGTACTTGACACAATTCCAAAAAGTAAGCGCTTTCAAAAAAATAGCTATGCAATGTGTAACACGATATATAACAAAATACCCTCACATATTAAGCAATTACCTTATAATAAGTTTAAAATGTCACTTCGACGATGGCTAGTAGATAAAGCATTTTATACAGTAAATGAGTTTTTGAATTGTAGTGACTAAGTAGTTTTATCGTTA